CTGCCCAGGCATTTAGGTAGACCTATCAACTTGGATAGGTAGACCTATCAACAGACCTCAAACAGAGGCAACTACGTATCACTAACAGCTGCATTCAACACAAGTCCATGAAAAAGCATGTTGAATTTTTACATGCTTTCCCTAATAAAGAGCTGAACATACGAGTAATTTTCTGGGGTTATTACATGGAGGAAAATAGATTTCCTATGGCCGTATTTGGGCTGGCATTACTAGCCATCATCACTTTCAAATATTGTCTCACAGAATACCCTGGCCATTCCCTCTGCGGTGCTGTGTGTGGGCGACAAAAGCTGTGTGAATGGGGTCAGTAATTTGTGGTACACATGTTGTATAGTAACAGGTATGTCCTGAAGAGAGGACCGTGATGGTTTTATGGTGGAGGCTGTGCTTGTATGTGTGCAGGTATGTGTGTGTGTGTGTGTGTGTGTGTGTGTGCAGGCTCCTGTGTATGTGTGTGTGCATGCATGCCTGCACGGGAGTGCACATTTCTATCAATGATGCACTGGTGGGCACACACTGGGGCCAGCAGGAGAGGTGTGCAGGCATGAGGAGCAGTGGAGAGACAGGCAGCCTGGCTCTTGGGGGAGACACTCCTGTGTGAAGAGCTGCTGCTGGAAAGCAGCTGCTTAACAACTTGAGCCTCAAATTATAGCCCACGTGGACAGAGGTGTCAGCGGTCGCTGGTTGCTGTAAATACTTCAGTGCAATTGACAACAGCTTGTGGAGGGCTAAGTGAGATGGGGAGGGGGCAGGAGGAGGGCCAGTGCCTCCCATAGGGACCCTCTGCCTGGCAGTCCTGGCTCTGCTGAGTGCACCGTTGCTGCTGGGGAGACAACATGGACAGAAAACAGCAGTCTGTAACAGGGTGGGCTTCAGAGCCACACTTGTCCAAATAACTCGTTATCTACAAATGGGCAATTTTGGGCAAATGACTTACCCACTCTCTGCCTTGGTTTCCCTATCTGAAAAACAACAACAAAGATAATAGCCTGTGAACATTTTTTTTTCTTTGTGAGGAATTATGGGGACTTTTTAATCTACAAGAACCCATTGCAGTTCTACAGATGGTAGCCTCTCTCTCCTTTTGTGGGATAATGCATGGGAATTAGTGCGGTGCCTCTCACATAGGAAAGCCTCAGTAAATGTTAGCTAATGTCCTTAGCCTATTGCTATTGCTATTGTCCTCATAATCTTGGACCCATAGCTGGAAACACCACAAGCCTTCCAACTATGCATGGAAAAAAGACTTCCCAGAGGGCAGCCAGTTGGGTCTTTGTGGGTTTTTCAGAGAAGATGTTTTTAGTCTCCAATCTTTCAGAGAATCCTGCTGGACAGGATCTGAGGCTGAGAGAGTGTGCCCCGGGAGCTCCATCCGCCTGCCTTCATTAGAGCCTTGGCTGTGTTTTTGAAAAGTCATGTGTAAATGGATTTCTGCAAACAATTCCATTTAAAATGCACTCGCAAGGCTGAGGGCTTAAAGGGACCCCATGGTGAATTCTTTTGTAAGGAAAGGAATTTCCTGGGCCTATCTATTTTGAAAAGTACAGACATTTATAAAGTACACCATATTTCTTGAGCACCTACTATGTGCTACCTACTCATTCACTATTTATTGATAGCCCACAACAAGCCTATAGGGAAACCTTTGAATTGCAGAAGAAGAAATAGATGCACAGAGAACAGAGGTGCAGTCCTCTGCACCCCCAGCTGGCCCAGCTCCCACACAGGCTCACACTCCTCCTGCTGGGCCTGCTCTGGACCTTCCCCTCCTGCTCTCACCCCACTGCCTTCTCTATACACAGGACTCTTTATTTTGCATATATTCCAAGGAATCCACGATCACCTAAACCCCAGAGGCTTAACAGCTAGAACTGCAGCTCTGCAGCTCTGAACTCCTTAAAAGTTGCTAGTGTTTTTGTTGTTTTTCAGTGCTGGGCTTTGTGAATGCTAGGCAAGTGCTAGCATCCCTAGCCTTTTTTTTTTAACCTTAAAAAAATAAAAAAGCATTTTAATTGTATCAAGTTTTAACTGTGTGTATGTACGTGTGTGTGTTCATGAATGCATTGTTTGCAGATGCCATAACAGGGCATCAGATTTCCTGGAACTGGAGTTACAAGTGGTTGTGAGCCATCAGCGTGGGAGCTGAGGACTAAACTCCAATCCCCCGTAAGAGCAGTATGTGTTCTTAATTGCTGAGCCTCTTGATTTTTAGGAAAAGGTATGGCTGCTACCTAGGCTGGCTTTGAACCCACAATCTCCCTGACTCTGCCTCATGAGTGCTGGAGGTTATGATTGTGTCACTGTCTGGCAAAATTAATTTCATAGGAACATTTTCAAACAGTACAATGAATTCTCTACCCATAACTTAGATCCAGCAACTGTCGGGATTTTGTTAGTTTTCCTCTACTTTTCTGAGAGCCGTTTAACTTTGTGAGGTAGGATTAGATGTCCTGTTGCAATGGGATCCTGATGATCTTTGAATTGTGCTGGTTTGTTTCATTCAGAAGGGCTAGACCTGTGGTTGTATATTGGACACATGCCCCTTTATATGGAGAATTACTGTCTAAACCAACAAACACAGCCAATGGACCATGGACAGGGACTTCTGGTCCCGCAAGCCAGAAAAAGTTGTTTTCTTTGTAAGTTAATCATCTCAGGTATTTGTTATAGTGATGGAGAGTTCACTAACATGTTGCTTTTACTGCTGGCTCTGTGTTCTGTGTTTCCTGCTTAGACTTGAGGAAGGAAGGCACTAGAATGTTTAAGGAGATGTTTTCTGCAATCCTGTTCCCCAGGCTCGAGTCTAACAATGGTCACCAGAGCATTCACTACCTTTTGTAAGGAGATAGTGAATTTCTCTGTTCCTTTACCTTAGGACAATAATTGTGAAAACAGCAATAACGACATCTGTGATCCTCTGCACCTTTCCACTTTCCACAAGGACTTCTTTCTTGATGCTCTTGGAAGGGGTCCTGCTTTCCAATGGTCAGTCTTTGGGTTTTGAGTTTACCCACGTAAAGTCTTTCCTGGAGCCATAGCATCTTATAGGTGCTTCGCTGGGAGCAACAGAAGCTCTCTATTCCAGAGAAGCCTCTGTGTGGCCTCAGCTCTATTGGATGAGTCTCAAGCCTTCTCTACTTATAAGTACTGGGGGAAGTCGTTCCAAGCACAAGTCTACAGAGGATGGTGAATCCTTGCACCAAACACCTGCCCTTTTGACATGGGGCCAGGTGAAGCTCTGCAACCATAAGTACGTGGCTTTGACAGTACTGACTGAATGGGCAAGAACACACCAGTCCGCCACTTCCTTGAGGTCTTCTTGTGGGAGCTTCACAGAACAGTCTTGGGGGTGCTAGAGCCAAATCATACTCCACCTCAGGAATGATGCCACCACTCTACAAGAGTACCTACCTCTCCCCTACCCAGATAATCTTTTTGGAAACAGGCAGAGGATTAACCCCCTTTGGGAGCTAATACTCTAGGAAAGTCAAATTGTTTGTACAAGATTCTGAAAGGGAGTAAATCTCACCCTTGCTTATCATTGCCTTTTCATGACACTGCCGCGTCTTCTGTGCTTGTCAGAATTAGAACTTCATTTAGCCTTCACCTCTTAAATGTTCCCCATAAAGAACACTGCCTTCCACTGACTTGGCCCTTTCTCTTGCTGAGGCTTTTGTGTGTGTGTGTGTGTGTGTGTGTGTGTGTGTGCCATTTCAAAATTATTACTATCGTGCACGTGTGTGTATTGTATGTGTTGCATGGATGTCTATGTGTTTGTTGTGAACATTTGTAAGCACATGTGAAGGCCGAGGGTACATGCCTGGGGTCTCCTTTTATTGGTCTCCACTGTATTTTTATTTTTTTATTTTGTTATTTTTGAGACAAGGTCTTTCTTTATTGGTCTGGAGCTCACCAGTTTGGCTGAATTGGCTGACCAGTAGTTCCTAGATCCTTCAAGACCAATCTTCCCAGTCAGTGCTGGGATTACAGATGCATGACTTGGACCTGGCTTTCTACGTGGGATCTGAACCCAGATACACATGATATGTGGCAAGCATATCTGTGACCGAGCTACCTTCCCAGCCCACAAATTACTGGTACTGATGCTACTATTACTACTACGATGATGAGCATGATGATGTGTGCGCCTCTGTCAAGGCCTGAGGAGGGTGCTGGGTGCCCTGCTTTACCATTATCTGTCTTAGTCCCTTGAGACGGAGCCTTTTATTGAAACTGAAATTTGCCATTTTTTTTTCTACCAGCAAGATCCAGGGGTCCTTCTGTCTCTCTCCTCTAGGTGCCTGTGGTCATGTCCAGCTTTTAATGTAGGTGATTGGCATCCAAATTCAGGTCCTTGTGTTTTCCAACAGGTGTTCTTGCCTACTGAACCATATTCTCAGCCCTCAAATTATTTTAAATGTGGACTCATTGATGAATGGTATTCATCACCTCAAATCCTGGACAGTTAATGGAGAGATGATTTAAAAAAATAATTAATTAGTACCTTTTGGGGTGCTGGGGATGGCACCCAGGGCTCTACCCTTACTAAGCAAGGACTGTACCACTGAGTTTCACCCCAGGCCAAGTGATGTTTCTTGCTGGTTGAAGCCGCATCTGCCTGCTGCACTGTCTGTCAAGCAGCCCACACTCAAAGTACTAAAAAGACATTAGAAAGCTACCCAAGAGAACAATTTTGAGCCAAGCAGGAAAGTGAAAAACCATCTTTCCCTGACCATAGGAATGACTTTGCTCAGCACAATGTAGAGATGTGTGCAGCGAGTAGTGGGGCCTTTCTGGCTTGACTGGGGCATGCCATAGCTGCCACTGCCCTGTACATTTGGCACAGTACCAAGGTATTTCTGCAGCTTGCTGTGCTGTGTCACACTAGCGCAAGAGGAAAGGCAGGTTGCAGGTCAAAGATCCCCTAGGCTTCAGGGCCAGTGGAGTATGTCAATGAGATTGACGAAGGGCTGCCATGGTTGAGGTCCATCAACCTAGTGAGGCCAAGTTTAGAAGACCATAGTTCTGGGAGCTTCCTTAGTGGAGAAGGTAGGTGTGGCTGAAGGCTTTGACGTCTTGAGAGCATTACCTTCACTAAGAGAAGATGGTAGCAGCAGGAAGGGACAAAGATTGCTCAGGGCTGCTTTGAGCAAGCTCTAGTGCTGGTGACTATGATGGTGCCCCAGATGGGAGGAAGGGGTAGGGAGACTGTCTTGGAAGAAGTATCTGGCAGGGCTGTCATTATTTGTGGTTTATAATCACTTTTCTGGTTTTGGAGCTGCGCCCTCCCTGGCTTCTTGGTTACTGTGTCTCAGCACCTGGCACGGGACAGTGAGTTCTCAGGCAGGTGCTGTATCTAGCAAGGCCTTTGTAGGGAGGTAGGTTTGGATCCAGTGAGAGAGGGGAAGGCACTCTTGGAAGACATGTGGGCCAAGGCGCAGAGGTAGAAAAGCATGAACCATGTATTGAGATCAATGAGGAGCCTGGTTTGTCTGGAAAAAGGGGCTTCTGCCAGGGTACTGTGGGCGATGAGGCTGGAAGGTGGGCAGGAATGCTACATTTTCCAGAGAGGCCACAATAGTCATTCCTTGCAGAAGGAAAGGGAAGGGATTGGGCTGCAGAGGAAACCCTGCTGTGTGGCCTGTGGTGGGATGGGGGCGAGTGGGCAGGAGGCTGTGGCCACCTCCTTGCGTTTCTGTCCAGCTCCTTGTCTCCTTGTCTCTTCCGGTGTTATACAACTGGAAGTTGGGGGAAGGGCCAAGTATGTCATTTTATTCCTATATCCAGGGAAACACACACACACACACACACACACACACACACACACACACACACACACACACGCATACACCCCTCCTAGGAATGATACTTTTTCCACTTGACAAGAGCCAAAAAAATAAAAAAAAATCCAACTGAAGGTACAAAGTTCAGAATTGGCAGGGCTGGAGGGCAGGCAGCAGGCCGGGCTGGGATTTTCAGTTTTCTAAGTGGTGGTGGCCACAGTTGGAAACTGGGAGCAAGAAAGCAGGTCTCAGAGGTACTGTCCATGGCCTGGAGCAGGCCCCAGGGAGCTGTGGGTGAGAGTGTGTTTTGTCTCTCTGGAGATGGGGAGGCATCCAGGCTGCTGAGTCTCCTCTTGGCATTTAAAACCAAGGCTGAGCATGAGAGAATCTGGACGCCTCTGGTTCTATGGCCAAAGCCAGGCTGCCTGGCTTCAGACTCTCCCTCCATGGTCAGCGTGCTCTGTAACTTTGGGTGCACCATTCGGCCTCTAGGTGGGTGTCTTTTTCTCTTGTGTAGCATGAAAGAATGACAATCTGTACCTGCCAGGAGCCGGGGGAGTGATGTGAGCTCATGCTTGTCCCAAAGGGTACATGTGGTAGCATACAGCAAGTGGGACTTTGTGTTGATGATATTATTGAGGAAATGGAGACAGGAAAAAGAAGTGATGTGGTGAGACATATCTACCCAAGCTAGGCTGGGAGGAGACCTGGCTGTCCTTAGCACTAAATGCTTAGACTACTTTCTACTTCCTATATGTCTTGAGTAAGAGCCTAGGGCAAGAGTCTATTAAGCATTTATATTTAATTATGCATGTTTGTGCCCTCCCCAGTGGATTTGGGTTATGTGCACACGAATGCAGGTGTCTTCAGAAGCCAGAACACTGGGCACCTCCTCCCCTGTCTTGGATTCTCCCGGAGCTGGAGTTACAGGCAGTTGTGAGCTGTCCAACATGAGTGATAGGAAGTGAAATAAGGACCTCTACAAAAGCAGGATTCACTCTTTACCACTGAGCCATCTATCCCTCCCATTAAGAGTTGCATATTTATACTTATTTAATTTTTAAATTTAGATTTTAAGATTTTATTTTTTGTATCTGAGTGTTTTCCCTGCATGAATGTCTGTGTACCACGTGGGTCTCTGGTGCCCATGGTAATCTGAAGATGGTGCTAAATCCCCTGGAAATGGAGTTATGGGTGGTTTCTGAGTTGCCTTGTGGGTGCTGAGAATCAAACCTGGGTCTTCTGCTAAAACAACAAATACTCTTAACCACTGAGCCATGTCTCCACTCCCAGTTTCATAGTTTTGTAGGACAATTTCTGTGGGTCAGACAAAAAGCTTTTATCTTTCTTGAGGTACTAAGGATAGAAGCCAGGGCTTTGGGCTTGATAGCAAGTGCTCAAGCACTGACTTATGCTTCCAGCCTGGAACAGACAATTTTTAAGAATGATCAGCCATAATGCAGTCCCAATTTATGGCAGTTCCAAAGCTCAGGCTTCTGGAATAATGCATTAAGCAAAGGTTCTAGATAGCCAAAGTTTCATCATGTTTATATTGAGATGTGGTCACAATCGAACAGTCATGACAGCATTGAATGGAAGGGACCAGGGTTGTAGTTCTGTGGTAGAGTGCTTACCTAATGGGTTTGATTCCCAGAACTGGAAAACAATAACAATATAACAAGATCAACATCAGGAAGATTCACGCAAAAGTATGTTTGTTTCCAAATCATTAGACTTGGCTGAAGGAAGATTTGAGTGATGGTGCCATCAGATTGGTTAGGAGTTGTTGGTTAGATGGAGATAACATGATGACAACAATATTTATAAAAGAGGCTTTCTACTAGGTATAGTGGCTCATACTATAGTTCTAGCATTTGGGAGGCTGAGCCAGGATATATATGAGTTCAAAGTTCGCTGGGCTATATAAACAATTAAGAGTATCTAGGAAATAGAAACATAGAAAATGACCCTTGCAATTCTAAATATTAACTTTCCTCAAGACTTTCCCCCTCTACATTTTACTTTTCTGTCTTATTAAATAATTGTGGATTTATTTATTTATTTATTTATTTATTTATTTATTTATTTATTTATTTATTTATAGGCAGCCTCATTGTGTAGTTCTGTCTGGCCTGGAACTTGGTATGTAAACTAGGCTAGCTTTGTACTCACAGAGCTCCTCCTTCCTCTGCCTTTGAAATACCAATATAGCATTATGTTTTTGTTTTCCTGTAGTGCTGGAGGTTGACCTCAGGCTTTTCACATGCTAAGCAAACAACTTACCATTAAGCTACACTTGGGGTCCCTAATTTTTAAGAACATATGTATTATTCAGAGACTTTTTAAAAAAAAATCAGGGTCATGTTTTGATGTCTAAGCCACATAACATTCTTGAGTTCAGGCAAACCTACTGCTTCTGCCTCCTGCGCATAGCTGGGGCTATAAGCATAAATAATTGTGCTCGGATAAAGACTTTTTTTTTTCTGAAAATAATTATTTTTGAGACAGGGTTTAATTGTATATTCCTGGTTATCCTGAAACTTGCTGTGTAGACCAGACTAGACTTGAACTTAGAGAAATTCACCTGCCTCTGCCTCCTAAGTGCTGTGATTAAAGGAATGCACTACCATATCTGGCTTTTTGGAACATTTTGCCTTGAGCAAGAAGAAGAAAATTAAAAAATTTGTTTAATGTGATTGTATACTTTTAACAGATACAAAGTCAGGTGATAGAGTACATTTCATTGCATACTCATAAAAGCTTTGGGATTATTAGATTTGTTTTACAGGCAAAGAACCTGAGGGTAGGCCCTTCAGTTGACTAAGAATTCACAGCCAAGCTCATGGATTTGGGATGGAAGAGAGAGGGATCCTTTCCTGCTAGGCTTGGAGAGCTGGAGTGTAGGAGGGGAGAGGTGGAAAGGTGGTGGAGCTGGCTCAAGATGGAAGATAGACGTTCCCAGGATCAAGTTGTAGGTTTGCCCTTCCACACCAGAGACTCTGGCTATCCTGGAGCCAGGATCAGCCTTGGTGATCTCAAAGGAGGGGAAGACATGGGTAGAGAAATGGATGGGAAGAAGAGCTATAACTTCCCAATGCCATCTCTTCCCAGCCATGCCCACCTCCTTTGCCCACCCGGCCACTCCTCTGCTAGGGTTCCCAGGACCTCTTCTACCAAGCTCTTGTCATGCCAGGATTACCAGGTCAGGCACCTGAATGTATGGATGAGTTTTGTCCATTTGTATTTTTAGCCCTACCTATGCTTCCTCCTACTGACCTAGTGGAGAGAGGCCTATGGGTTTGATCTCTGGTGTCACTGTTGGTATGGAACCAGAGATAGACTGATAGCCGCTCTTATCTCTAAAGCAGGAATAAGCGAAATGCCCTAAATTCAGTTAGGAAAATCTGTTCTCTTGGCCATACTTTTGAGGTGATGATGTAGTTTCCAAGCTGAGCTTCACATCTTTGCTAGTTTTGTTTTTAAAATAAAGTACAAGAAGTTTGCAGTTATTATTTGGAGGCACAAGAGTTACCTCCAACTGCAAACTTTTCCTGTCATCATTGCTGTTATTACGGGATTGCTCAGCCAGGCATTAGGGCTCACACCTGTAATCCCCACACTCCAGAGGATGAGGTAGAAAAGAGCTCAGTTCAAGGCCAGGTGACACAGCATGATCCCAGTCATGCTGCAGTAGCAGGTGAGACCTCACCTCAAAAATTAAATAACATGAAACTAATAACTAGGGTCTATTTACCTCTCTCAGGTGAGAAATTGCTTTTTCTATTAATCATTGTGTTTCTTTGCTTTCCAGATTCCCTAACATATTTGTAGACTCCTCTCTGGCTTCAGCATCATTCATTCAGCTCTGTCCACTCTCCCTCTTCCCTTCCATCGTATATGCCGATCCCTCTCTCGGCAACCACCCATTCAGGTGTTCGATTAGTCAAATTGTTATAAAAACTGATGTCAGATGAACTTAGCTTTCCATTCATCAACCCACACATCCAGCACCCATCTCTATATCCATTAAACATCCACCTGCTCATCTTCACTCATCCACCCATCCTCGTCCACCTGTCCACCCACCCATCCTATCCATCCATCTGCTTGCCATCTATCCACCTACCCATCTGCCCACCTAGCGTCAGTCAGGATAATCATTCATTGATGTTCCCATCCAAACATCCACCAGCTCATACATGCATGCATCTCCCACCTACAATCCATCCACCCTTAACCTTTTCCTTTCTGGGTCATTTTTTTTATTTGTCTCCCCATGTCTCGGAATGACCTCCCCAGTCTCCCAGTCTGTAATCTGGTAATGTCCCTTTGAAATTTGAAACTTCCCTTTCTCGCTCTCTCTCTTTTTTCTTTCTTCCTTTCTTCAGGGTATACCGAGGCTGGCCTCAGACTCACTGTGAGGCAGATACTGGCCTTGAATTCCTAGTACTGCTTATCCCGAGTGCTTGGATTATAGGTGCTTTTCCCCACATCTGGTTGAAAAATAGGTACTTTACACAAAGCATTTGCCACTCTTTACATGCGGTGGTTTTCCAGATTCATTTATTCATTTGCTAGGACCCTTCCCAGTAGAGTGGTGGCTTTTTGTCTTATTGTCTCTTACTAGAATGTCCCTCTGTCTGGCCCTCTTGTATTTCACCTGTACGTGCATGCATTGCTTCAGACCATTTTCTCTGCCGAAATGCTCTTCCCCACACCCTGAGCTATTGGTGACCTTCTTTTAATTCTTTAGAACCCTCAACTCAAATGTCAATCTTGTGACACTGTCTATTCCACGTCTTTTGCTATTCCATTCCCAGCTGAATTAATGGTTCCCATCTCTGTACTCCAGCAACAATTTGCACATCTCTCTAGCATAGCTCTCTCCACACTGAATTTTAATTAATTGCTTGCTTTTCTGCCTCACAGGCTGGAGGGAGCATGCTTGATCCATCACTGTTTCTCTGGCATGTGGTACAAAGTCAGGTATTCATCCATAAGTGCACTGTCTATTATTTCTCATTGGTCATTCATCTATGTAATCTAGTATTTATTAGCTAGCCATTGTTTAAAACCTCTTAACCATTTATCAATTATCTATATTAATCATTTTGTATCTATCAATCATTTACCATCTATTGATTCAGCTTATATGTCCACTGCTTGTCAATCATTTATCTATTAGCTATCCCCCAATTTGTAAAGTGAATAATCATATTGTGCTATGGGTGCATGGCCTCTGCCCTTTACACTGCCTATTTACACTATTCTCATCTTTAGAAATCTATCTCAGGAACTCACTTTCTAAAATCCTTTTTGATTTTTTTTTTACCCTGATTAGAATCCCTCTCTCTCTCTTTTTCTCTCTCTCTCCCTTTTTCTTTCTCTCTAGGTATTGTTCCAGGGCTTTTTGGAAATGAAGATGGTGAGAAAGAGTGGGAACAAGCAGTGACTGACAGGTACCTTTCTTCTCTGTACCCACCTCTCCCTGAGTTCTGTCATACCTCTGTGTCCTTTTGCAGGACTCTGACCAGCCTGGCATGCTCGATTCTTGGGATTCAACCCCAGCCTATCTCCTGGGTGACCTAGCCAGGTTAAAGAGAGGAACCTCCAGACGCTATGAGACAGGTTTCCACTTCCTAGGATATGAGAGACTATGTTCATCTAGAGAATTGCCCAGGAGGGTGGGCTAGGGGACTTATGCAAATAAGAAGCAAATTGAGCACAAACATTATGCAAATATACATGTGGTTTTCCTGATTGCTCATTCAGTGGGAGGGGGGGCTGGTGAGCCTCTTGCTGAGGTCACTGGGAGCACAGCGAACAGGGCTGTCCTCCACTCATCTCAAACCCTCAACTTCCCAAGGTCCATCTTGGCAGCAGCTACAGCTGCTGTTTCTGCAGTGAGTGTGTGGAACAAGGAGTCCTGCCACTAGTCCCACACTAGTGCTGTGTGGGTTCCCTGTGCAAGCACGGTCAGAGAAGCCGAGGCGACCCCTCAGACCCTGTGAGTCTGCACTCAGGGAGAGATGATAGCAATCCATCTCCATGCTGTCTCAGCAGGTTCAGTTTGAAGTTAGGGAAGGCCAAAGAACCTAAGCTATATGGAGTAGGAAAGGACCAGACAGTGAGAGATGACTTTGTCCCTATAAATAACAGGACACATTGGCCATCCAGGGCAAGAGGGACTCCAGTAATACAGAAAGACTTCAGAACTGGGAGAGTAATTTACAGTCATACAGGATGGAAGGAGGTAGCTTGTAGTCATGATTCTTCTTTTTCTCCCTCATCTTCTCCTTCTTTTTCTCCTTCTCTTCCTTCTTTTTCTCTTCTCTTCCTCACCCTCATTCTTCTTCTTGAGACAGAGTTTCTCTGTGTAACAGTCCTGGCTGTCCTGGAATTTTGTAGACTAGGTGGGCCTCAAACTCTCAGAGATCTGTCTGCCTTTGCCTTCCAAGTGCTGGGATTAAAGGTGTGTGCCACGGTGCCCAGCCCTTCATGACTTCTTAATAAAGACTAAAGACTAGTTGCTATTGAATGGTTAATGACTTGTGAGGTGAAAGCAGCTGGAGTTACCTCTAGTCCAACCAGCTATTTCACCCACCAACCCTTGAAACCTATCCATCCACTCACCCATCCATTCATCCATGGATCAATCCATCCATCTATCCATATGTTCATTTATATATCCATCCATGTATCTATCACGTGTTCAGATTTGGCTTATACACTTAGTCTGTATTATGCAATGGTAGCTGTCTCACAGCTCTTTGCTACTCTGTTGTCTTTGTGTCATATCATGGAAGCAACTGCCACTCATGGCATACTGTTCTGCATCCAACATATAAACTCACCAACTATTTCCTCTTATCTTTACTCTGTTCTGACAATGTTCATCTCAGTTTAACCAACCTTTCCTTCACTTTCCTCTTCACTTCCAATACGGGGTCTTATGTTGTACAGGTTGGGGACACGCCTGGCTGAGGGGCACTCCTGGCTCCTGGCAGAAGCAGAATGGAATGAGGTGAGGGTGGAGAAGCTGCAAAATGGATCTGTCATGATCAGTTATGGGATCATGTGTGTTGCAACATGGATCTGAAGATATATTGGTCTAGAGGAGCTGTTGAGTCATAGGTCCACCTTCATCCCTCTTCTGGGTTGGTGGGGAGACATGAGTGGATTAAAAAGAGTAGGATTCATTTAAACTTGGGCTTTACTAGACTCTATACCTGCTCTGTGAACAGGGGCTTCAGTGTCCCAGGAGAAACAGTTCACCTCAGGGGCTAAAGTGGAGGGAGAAGTCCTTTTGGACTTTTTGGAAGCTGAAAGGATACCTGTGGTGGCACATGAGGGGTTTAAGGCTCTCAGCCTGGATGGAGGTGGAGATCTGGAGTATGCAGGACACAAGGGGTTGGGGTCAGGAGAGACTGAGACAGGGTTTGGCTGAGGAGTGGGTCTTGAGAAGAGGGTGGTGTCTGTCCATCTTAACCTGTCATTTCCTGGAGCATCTCAAGAATTTCTGGTCACATGACTGTAGCCACTGACCTGTGGCCTGTGCCCACCGAGGTGAGAAACTCGGGGATGATGGGAAGAAGGAGCCTTGGACTTCATGATTTGGAGCCTGCAGCAGAATCTCCAACTTGCCTAAACTGTTATGTTTTTAAAAAGATTATTATTGTTATTATTTTTTAGAGAAAGATTGTTTTTCTTGAGAGAGGGGAAAGCTCCACAGATATTTCCATTAAAAGGCCTACTTCCTCCTTTGAGCCAGAAAGCAGGTCCAAGCGTAAGTGAGTCACTGGCTCTCTTTAGAGTCCTGGTATGTATTTGATTAAGGGGACAATTGCTTGTCTTGAGGGGCAAGGGCTTCTAGCCAGCAGGTCTGCCTCCCCCTGGAAAATCTAAGACACTTTGGGAACCTTCTCCAAGACTATCCTAGAGTTGGCCTCTTGGCTTTTTATTACCTAAAGGGACAGAATGAGGGCCAACCAGAATGGGGCCTGCTTGGAAACAACTTCAAGGATGATCTGAGCAATCCCTAGTAACTGCTTCTCTATGAGCCTAGAGACAGGATCATAGTCACTTGAGCTTGGAGTTCGAGATGGCTGCAGGGCCAAGCCTTCATTTTAGAGTAGCCTTGGGTGGGAAGGTAACCGAGGAAGACAGGCAAGGGACTCAGAAACTGAATTCTGACCCTGGCACTGAATTCAGTTTCGTGGCTGACTTGTCTGGAAGTCTGAGGAACAAATAGAGGAGGAGAAGGAGGTCGGGCTTCTGGGAAGCTCTTAGGAGTTATGCTGTGCTCACACTTGACCAGTTTCTGCTCCCCAGCCTCTATCTGGCTTCTTGGTGCAGACAGTGACTTCATCTACACCATCCACTACTGATTCTTCTGGGCAGTCCAGGTGGGTGGGACACTGAGTTTGAGTGGGAGCAGATGGCTGGGCTGGGTATCGTTAGGACCCAACAGTATCCCACGATGGTCCTTTGGGGCATTCTAAGAAAACCAGAACCTTGCAGATATACTTGGGATCTACAGTAACGGAGGACATGGAGTCGCCTGAGAGCTTTTCTGGGGTGAATGCTTGAGAGCGGCAGGGTGGGTTCTGCTTTCCAGCAACTCAGCCAGGCCACTGAGGCCCTTCTAAAAGGTAACAGATGGGTCATGGTGAGGTGCACCCTGCCTGGGAAACAGCAACAAATCTTCCTATCATGAGCAGGATCTGAGGCCCACAGCATGGAAATAGCAGCAAGCCCTGATAGGGAGATTGCCCCTGGGCTGCCCACCTCCGGTGTGCTGGCCACCTCCTCCTACAGCAGGAACCTGACTCCTTGGAAACTCCATACTACCTCACCCCAGGCATCTTCACTCGGAGACATCCTGGATGTAGTGAAGTAGGTGGGGCTGGCCGGATGGTACAGTGGTCTGGATCATTGAGAACACCTGTGTGCGTGTGTGGCATGGGGGGGGGGTATTCTTCACTGCATCTCTGAGCATCTCAGCATTCCTGGTACTGTGTGGGCAGGGCGTGAGGTCTGGTTCAAATCCTGGCTTAGGCGTTTGTTTACTAGTTGCACGATCTTAGGCAATGGACTCTACCTCTAGGTGCCTCAGTTTCTCCCTGTGTGAAGTGAGGGTAATAACATTACAGGGCAGTTAAGAAGGCTGGCATCTAGCACGAGTTGAAGAAATGCTGACTCTTGCCTATGTTAACTTCACCGGGCACGTCCTACCAGTCTATTTTATGCATTGGTAAGGGAGGCACAGCCCCACAAGGATCTCCACCTTCCCTTCCCAGGAAAAACCTGGGTCTGGGGTGGTTGACTGTTCAGGCAGTGGGTCCAAGACAGCCAGCTCAGGCTTACAGTGCCAGGGAGACCTGGGCTCACAAGGATATGTGACTTTGCTTTTAGTAAGCTTACATCTCTACAGTTTTTCTGTCTGTAAAATGGGAATCACATTTCTTTTCTAATAAGGAATGGTGAGAATTACAACAAAGAACATTAGCTTGGGCTCACCACGTGCCAGAACGGTGATTCCTAAGGCCCTGCTAAACAAGGAGTATAGGCTTCCTCCTCTGTGCTGTGGCAGACCAGGCAATCTCACACCCAGGGCACAGGCAGAGAAACTTAGCCAGTACTAGAGGGGGTGTCTGCACCCTCAGCGCTCACCGCAACAGTTCTGAGTTACAGAAACAGCACAAGAGCGTGTCGATGAAAAAACAGACATGTCACACTCAGGGGTGACACACACACACACAGACACACACACACACACACACACAGAATGGAGCACTGGTCATCCTTGAAAAAGAAGGAAAGAATGTCATTTGTGACAATGTGGGTAAACTTGAAGGGCATCATGCAAAACGGAACGTGCCACCCACAGAAACGCAAGCTCTTCATGATCTTATTTACAAGGTAAATTCGGGAAGGTTAACTCAGAGGCAGAAGGGAGGCAGGCACACAGCAGAGGGTACCAAGTCTCAGGAGTACTATGCGAACAGGATCTGGACTGCTAAAACTGCATGGTGGCCGTGGCTGATTGCATCACATGACACATAATTGAAGTTTGCTAAGACAGCCGATCTGACGTGTTCTCACAAACGGTCACTTTGAGACATGAGCATGTTTATTAGCTCGAGTGTGTTATTTTTTCAATATCTATTTTTAAACATCGTCTGTACATTTTGAATAATGCTAGTCTCTGAAGTGAAAAGTGGGTGTGACAGAGCTGGGGATATTGGGTAGCTTCTCTTTGGCTGGGTTGCTGTGTTGGAGGGCAGTCATAACACTTATATCTGGCTCTTTACTGGTTCAGCAGTTTGTCTGTGTGTCTCCATGGGGTGACATGCTGTTACCACCCCCACCTTCAAGAGGAAACCAAGGTGCCTAGCAAGGTCAAGGGCGTTTCCAGAAAGACTGTGGGCCGGTGTTGCAGTCTGTCTCCAGCCAGGCAGAGGCTCCTAAGTGTGGGGGGTCTCTGAGTTTATGCAAATAGATGAGTGCTAATCATTCCACTAATGGGAAACACACGGGCAGATAGGATCAGCAGCAAAGCGGAAAGGACTTCCGGAAAATCTAAGCTGGGAGAAACCCCAGAGAAATCTGGGAAGCTGATAAGTGCTCCAAAGGTTGGGGTGCACTGTGGGCTGGTGTGCACGACGCAGCGAGGGCGTAGGGTGGGGGAGTGTTTCTGAGGCATCAATGACCAGCCACCCAAGGAAGTCTAATTGACCTCGGGCTCAGAGAGCGGCATTCTTTCTCTGAGCCGGCCACTTCCCCGAAGCCTAGATGCATTCCCTTTCTTTGCCTGGCCCTGTGCAGGGCTCCAGTGTCATGAAGACATCTCCAAACCCCGATTTCTGAGAGAAAACACGTCAGCCAGGGTGAGCACTTAGACTCTGGAGCCAGAGTGCCTGTGTTCGAATCTCGTTTCTGCCACTCATTAGCTGTGTGATCTTGGGCATGGTATTCAGCCTTTCCGTGTTTCAGCTTCCTTGTCTGTAAACTGAGATGCTGTAAGATGACAACGATCCAGTGAGGATCAAATGAGTAAGTTGGAAGAATGGCTGTGAGTTCATAGATACTGGGTACAAGATAGGTGTTGTTTTAGAAAAATAAAATTTGGCCAAGGCTTCTGCTGCTTAAATCCTTTACAGAGTGTCCCACTGCCCTTGGGTGTGAGGGCAATATCAACCCTGAGGGCTCCATCTGGTCCTTGCTCATCTTCTATTTTCTCCCTGTCTAGTCCACTACCCTCCACCATTCCAAGCGACCTGTGTTTTTTTGAATGTGCTTTCCTCTTACCTCTGGGCATCTGTGTGTGTTGTCTGCTTAGTTTGAAATTCCCTCTTCCAAAGATCTTGCCCTCCCAGTTTTATGTGCTCAGCAGTAACAAAGAGAGCTTTATTTTTGATGCTCATCAGATTTAGATGCCCATACCTGGGTCTTTAGACACCAACCACCTCACTATTAGACTGTGATTTTTCAGGGTCTGTCTCTCCACTGGGCTGGGCCATCTCTCTGTTCTTAACTCATAGAGCAAGTCTGGACTCAGAGAAGGTTTGACAAGTATTTGTTGAATGAATCTAGAGAAGGACCTCAGGCAGCCATTCTTGTCTTGAGAGTTCATCAAGTGTTTTTTTGTGTGTGAGGCTGGTGAGCTGTGTGACTTTGGATAAGCTGCACCATCTGTCTGGTCTTCAATTTACTCCCTGGTACATATCAACAGACACTTGTACATGAAGTGTCGTAGTACATAAAAATAACTGTGTTTGGCTATATTATATTTATTATTCGCCCAAAGATTAACATGGCGGTATTATTTAACCTGCTATCACAATAATAAGACACAGATACCTGTTGGATTTTATAATTCCCTTATTTACCTTGGGCTGGGCAGATATTTCTACCTACACTGTCTGAATCACCTCACCATCCATCTGCCAGCCCCCACTCAATGCCATCCTCCTTAACTACCCTGTCTTCCATCCATAATCTTACAAATACTTGCTTTTATTCTTAATCTGGGCCT